CCTTATCTAACCTGATAACTTTCTAATTTTTATATTTTAGTTACTTTTATAATAATAAATAAAGAATACACAATAAAAACAAGAAATATAGTACCTATCTGGGTCTTTTGCAATCAACTGTCAATCAAACTTAAGCCCACTGTTTTTTAAACTAATGGTACTACTACACCAGATGATTTTTTATTTAAATAAATAATGCACCCATGAACACAGAATATTAACACAAAAAAAAATCTAACAACATCATATAACTATCATAATTTTTCTGGCTTTCAAACTGCATGATAGTAGCCTATAAAAATTCAGCTAAGATCATCAATGTGATTTTTGCGACAATAAATTTGAAACTGAATGACAAAATAGACATTGCCCTTTACAAAAAATAATGTAATATAATACATCATTTGATAGATTAAAACTTTGGCTTTCTACTGGTTTTAAAATATATAGTACTGTTACAACAGCGGAAGTCACGTGATGCTGCTAGCGCCTGCGTGACTGAATTTCTCGAATGATCATGAATTATCGGGGAGGCCCGAGATGCCCCCTTCATTAGTATATAAGCCTGGCAGAGAAAGCCTGCAGAGATTGAATGAAGAGAGTTCCAGGTAATTTATAATTCTGTTTCAAGCTATTGTGTGTGTTTTGTTATAGAGACTGTGAATCACTGTGATTTATAGCATGTATTATAAAAGTAGTTAAGTTTACAGTGACGAGAATCGTATTGATTGTGAAATTACTGTGTGCTAAAAGTTTGTATCCAGGAGGAATAAACTGGTTTAACCAAGAAAGGACTTGTATCCCTGAAGTTTCTTGGAAATAATTTCTACTGAAAATTTACAAACAAGCAGATACACAACAGTACAAAATGTCAGAGAGAAGTATTGTCACTTTGTGAAAGAGAGGACGCTACAAGAGGGTGTGGCAAGAGGGGGCTGATTTTCTAGTTTATGACTCCATAAGCAAATAAGATTTAAGACTATAAAAATTATGCTTTGCCTGAGTAATAGCTATATTATAATAAGTAATTTACATTAAGTTCCCTATTTGTCAGAGAGGTGGTATATCAACTAAAGAGGGAAGACCTAGAGAACAAGTGTCACAATTCTCATACTAAGGGAGGTTGAGGATTTTTTACATATTTCCTTAGAAAATTACGAAGTTAAAACTTATATAGTATTAGTTTGATTTGTTAACTACATTTTTATATCAAGTTTATTCATATAAATTGATAATAAAACAGTTTAATTAAATTTGGATTAAATTAACTCTGCAAAAGATTGTGACATGCTCAATTTTACCTACCCAAAATAAGGGAAAATTCAGGAGTAAAGAAATCAATCAAAAAGCAGAGTAACAAAATAACTCTCACAGCAGTGCCCAAAATTTATACTTAAGTGCATTTATACTGCTAATTCAATTCTAGCCAATCGCAACAGGGTTGTCAAATTACCCACAATCACTCTAGTTCCAGTTGATAAATCAACACCTACCAACTAATGTTTCCTAATGTAAGAAGTCATGTACCATTTATATCCAATATACATGCTACATGACCAGATTATTCAAAATTTGTGATTTCCAAAAGAAAATAATTGAAATTCCAATACTTCCCAGGAGACATACAAACCTTCATTGTGGTATGCAGGCATACCATGCATTTTCTTCCTTGTTACTTTAATGTAGAAATTTTCACAATTTATTTTGAATTTTTATTCCTTCATTTTTCTACACAAATAAAACCTACTCCACCCAAAGAGGAAATTGCTGCAGCACTGCACCTTCTGCAAGAAGGTCAGTGAAATAATTTTTAGTGGTAAAGCAAACAATATGTAGGGGTTACAGCCTCCCTTATATTGAATGCGAATGACCAGTCACATGAAAACACTAGTCGCTATGGGTGAATCTTACATTTTCCCATTACATAAGAAACAGATGATTTAAACAGTCTGTGCAAGATCTAAGTGAGTTAACTGATGGTAAGACATCTTAAAAAGAGAGTCTGTTGACCAATTCACAAGTACAGTAGCAGGCAACTGTCCAGTGTCCTAATGCAAGTATGCATGCTTTGTTTGTCCACTGATTTCAATAAAGTTGGTTTTCATTTCGTATAACCCCTCACGTTCAGTCTATATAGTTCTTTGTGTGACCTCAGTTACTTTAGTTAAATTCATCCTTGCTTTGAAATTTATCTTGTAAATCCTCCCATTATAAAGTAGATCTACCAAATACTTTTAATCCTCTAGCCTAAAAATACCCAAATATCAACAGATTATTCTGAGAGTGGACTTTGAATTTTAACCTTCCAGAAAACATCTGGAATCAGTTTCTGGACTTCATTTCTACCTCTTCCAACAAACAACAAATCTGGGAAACATGTTGGCAAGAAAATGAGGTAGCAATCCCCAAAATTCTATATTTATCCACAAAGGATTTCAATGATGTTGTAATACTGTATTTGACCACCAGATATGGTCATACTCACTATTAGATTGAACATAAAGACTTTGAGAAATCTAATCTGTCATAATTTAATGTTGCAGACACTGTCAAAGTGAAAGTGTGACATGTCTGAAAGTGTTTTAGAGAAGTTCCATGTTTACCATTCAGGATTATAATCATTTTATTATAAGAAGACATCACTTTAATTAACTTTATTAAATGCCCAGGATACACTGAATCAATGTACCTGGTGTATGTTTCGTTTTACTGCCTTTCAAAACAAAACTATGGCATGAAATTGATAACTCAGCTCTGGAGATTTCAAAAGCTTTCTTTATTAAAAAGTGTTTTAGAAACAATATAACACTTACTCTATGAGCATCTTTTTCTGTGCTCGTCATGAGGTTATGATGAGTTACATTCAAAATTTAATTAAACTACTTTATTATCAAGGTATAAGAATAAATTTGTCATCACAACATAGCAAATAATCCAAATTTTAATATTATATAAGTTTTAAGCTCTTAATTTTATAAGGTAACATTGAAAAAAAATCCTTCATTACCACTAATATGAGAATTATGACATTTGCTCTCTATGTATCCCCTCTTCTCTAATATATTTACCACCCCTCCAAGGAGTACAAAATTTAATTTTAAGATTAAAAATACCTTTATGCATCAGAAAATTCTGAAATTTCACATGCGAAAAATTTATAATGTCTGGATAGTCGTGGGAGG